GGAAGCTGCCTGCACTGTTGTTGTAGGTTAGCAGGGAGCTGCCTGCACTGTTATTGTAGGTTAGCAGGGAGCTGCCTGCACTGTTGTTGTAGGTTAGCAGGGAGCTGCCTGCACTGTTGTTCTAGGTTAGCAGGGAGCTGCCTGCACTGTTGTTGTAGGTTAGCAGGGAGCTGCCTGCACTATTGTTGTAAGTTAGTAGGTTGCTGCCTGCACTGTTGTTGTAGGTTAGTAGGCTGCTGCCTGCACTGTTGTTGTAAGTTAGTAGGTTGCTGCCTGCACTGTTGTTGTAGGTTAGTAGGTTGCTGCCTGCACTGTTGTTGTAAGTTAGTAGGTAGCTGCCTGCACTGTTGTTGTAGGTTAGTAGGCTGCTGCCTGCACTGTTGTTGTAGGTTAGTAGGTTGCTGCCTGCACTGTTGTTGTAGGTTAGTAGGTTGCTGCCTGCACTGTTGTTGTAGGTTAGTAGGCTGCTGCCTGCACTGTTGTTGTAGGTTAGTAGGTTGCTGCCTGCACTGTTGTTGTAGGTTAGTAGGCAGCTGCCTGCACTGTTGTTGTAGGTTAGCAGGGAGCTGCCTGCACTGTTGTTGTAGGTTAGTAGGCTGCTGCCTGCATTGCTGTTGTAGGTTAGTAGGCTGCTGCCTGCACTGTTGTTGTAGGTTAGTAGGCTGCTGCCTGCACTGCTGTTGTAGGTTAGTAGGTTGCTGCCTGCACTGCTGTTGTAGGTTAGTAGGCTGCTGCCTGCACTGTTGTTGTAGGTTAGTAGGCTGCTGCCTGCACTGTTGTTGTAGGTTAGTAGGCTGCTGCCTGCACTGTTGTTGTAGGTTAGTAGGCTGCTGCCTGCACTGCTGCTGTAGGTTAGTAGGCTGCTGCCTGCACTGCTGTTGTAGGTTAGTAGGTTGCTGCCTGCACTGCTGTTGTAGGTTAGTAAGATGCTGCCTGCACTGCTGTTGTAGGTTAGTAAGTTGCTGCCTGCACTGCTGTTGTAGGTTAGTAAGTTGCTGCCTGCACTGTTGTTGTAGGTTAGTAGGTTGCTGCCTGCACTGTTCTTGTAGGTTAGTAGGTTGCTGCCTGCACTGCTGTTGTAGGTTAGTAGGCTGCTGCCTGCACTGCTGTTGTAGGTTAGTAGGTTGCTGCCTGCACTGCTGTTGTAGGTTAGTAAGTTGCTGCCTGCACTGCTGTTGTAGGTTAGTAAGTTGCTGCCTGCACTGCTGTTGTAGGTTAGTAAGTTGCTGCCTGCACTGCTGTTGTAGGTTAGTAAGTTGCTGCCTGCACTGCTGTTGTAGGTTAGTAAGTTGCTGCCTGCACTGTTGTTGTAGGTTAGTAGGTTGCTGCCTGCACTGTTGTTGTAGGTTAGTAAGTTGCTGCCTGCACTGCTGTTGTAGGTTAGTAAGTTGCTGGCTGCACTGCTCTTGTAGGTTAGTAAGTTGCTGCCTGCACTGTTGTTGTAGGTTAGTAGGCTGCTGCCTGCACTGCTGTTGTAGGTTAGTAGGCTGCTGCCTGCACTGCTGTTGTAGGTTAGTAGGTTGCTGCCTGCACTGTTGTTGTAGGTTAGTAGGTTGCTGCCTGCACTGCTGTTGTAGGTTAGTAGGTTGCAGCCTGCACTGTTCTTGTAGGTTAAAAGGTTGCTGCCTGCACTGCTGTTGTAGGTTAGTAGGTTGCTGCCTGCACTGTTCTTGTAGGTTAGTAGGTTGCTGCCTGCACTGTTCTTGTAGGTTAGTAGGTTGCTGCCTGCACTGCTGTTGTAGGCTAGTAGGCTGCTGCCTGCACTGTTCTTGTAGGTTAGTAGGTTGCTGCCTGCACTGCTGTTGTAGGTTAGTAGGCTGCTGCCTGCACTGCTGTTGTAGGTTAGTAGGTTGCTGCCTGCACTGCTGTTGTAGGTTAGTAGGTTGCTGCCTGCACTGCTGTTGTAGGTTAGTAAGTTGCTGCCTGCACTGTTGTTGTAGGTTAGTAGGTTGCTCCCTGCACTGTTGTTGTAGGTTAGTAGGTTGCTGCCTGTACTGTTGTTGTAGGTTAGTAGGCTGCTGCCTGCACTGTTGTTGTAGGTTAGTAGGCTGCTGCCTGCACTGTTGTTGTAGGTTAGTAGGCTGCTGCATGCACTGCTGTTGTAGGTTAGTAGGCTGCTGCCTGCACTGCTGTTGTAGGTTAGTAGGTTGCTGCCTGCACTGTTCTTGTAGGTTAGTAGGTTGCTGCCTGCACTGTTGTTGTAGGTTAGTAGGCTGCTGCCTGCACTGTTTTTGTAGGTTAGTAGGCTGCTGCCTGCACTGTTGTTGTAGGTTAGTAGGCTGCTGCATGCACTGTTGTTGTAGGTTAGTAGGCTGCTGCCTGCACTGCTGTTGTATGGTTAGTAGGTTGCTGCCTGCACTGTTCTTGTAGGTTAGTAGGTTGCTGCCTGCACTGTTCTTGTAGGTTAGTAGGCTGCTGCCTGCACTGTTGTTGTAGGTTAATAGGCTGCTGCCTGCACTGTTCTTGCAGGTTAGTAGGCTGCTGCCTGCACTGCTGCTGTAGGTTAGTAGGCTGCTGCCTGCACTGCTGTTGTAGGTTAGTAGGTTGCTGCCTGCACTGTTCTTGTAGGTTAGTAGGCTGCTGCCTGCACTGTTGTTGTAGGTTAGTAGGCTGTGTCCTGCACTGCTGCTGTAGGTTAGTAAGCTGCTGCCTGCACTGCTGTTGTAGGTTAGTAGGTTGCTGCCTGCACTGTTCTTGTAGGTTAGTAGGTTGCTGCCTGCACTGTTCTTGTAGGTTAGTAGGCTGCTGCCTGCATTGTTGTTGTAGGTTAGTAGGCTGCTGCCTGCACTGTTGTTGTAGGTTAGTAGGTTGCTGCCTGCACTGCTGTTGTAGGTTAGTAGGTTGCTGCCTGCACTGTTGTTGTATTTTAGTAGATTGCTGCCTGCACTGTTGCTGTAGGTTAGTAGGTTGCTGCCTGCACTGTTGTTGTAGGTTAGTAGATTGCTGCCTGCACTGTTGTTGTAGGTTAGTAGGTTGCTGCCTGCACTGTTGTTGTAGGTTAGTAGGCTGCTGCCTGCACTGTTGTTGTAGGTTAGCAGGCTGCTGTCTACACTGCTGTTGTAGGTTAGTAGGTTGCTGCCTGCACTGTTGTTGTAGGTTAGTAAGTTGCTGCCTGCACTGCTGCTGTAGGTTAGTAGGCTGCTGCCTGCACTGCTGTTGTAGGTTAGTAGGTTGCTGCCTGCACTGCTGTTGTAGGTTAGTAGGCTGCTGCCTGCACTGTTGTAGGTTAGTAGGCTGCTGCCTGCACTGTTGTTGTAGGTTAGTAGGCTGCTGCCTGCACTGTTGTTGTAGGTTAGTAGGTTGCTGCCTGCACTGTTGTTGTAGGTTAGTAGGCTGCTGCCTGCACTGTTGTTGTAGGTTAGTAGGTTGCTGCCTGCATTGTTGTTGTAGGTTAGTAGGCTGCTGCCTGCACTGTTGTTGTAGGTTAGTAGGCTGCTGCCTGCACTGTTGTTGTAGGTTAGCAGGGAGCAGGCTGATGCCAGCACTGTTGTTGCAGGTTAGCAGGGAGCAGGCTGATGCCAGCACTGTTGTTGCAGGTTAGCAGGGAGCAGGCTGATGCCAGCACTGTTGTTGCAGGTTAGCAGGGAGCAGGCCTGATGCCGCACTGTTGTTGCAGGTTAGCAGGGAGCAGGCTGATGCCAGCACTGTTGTTGTAGGTTAGCAGGGAGCAGGCTGATGCCAGCACTGTTGTTGCAGGTTAGCAGGGAGCAGGCTGATGCCAGCACTGTTGTTGTAGGTTAGCAGGGAGCAGGCTGATGCCTGCACTGTTGTTGTAGGTTAGTAGCGAGCAGTCTGCTGCTACCTGCTAACCCACACAGCCTGCCTGCCAGTCTGCCAGCCTGCCCTCCAGGCTGCCAGCCTGTATGCCAGCCTGCCAGCCTGCCCTCCAGGCTGCCAGCCTGCCTGCCAGTCTGCCAGCCTGCCCGCCAGGCTGCCAGCCTGTATGCCCGCCTGCCAGCCTGCCCGCCAGGCTGCCAGCCTGCCCGCCAGCATGCCAGTATAAATGGTAACTCTGGCACTGATTAACAGTGTCAACACTGCCTCGGTCACATCATTCGCCGCCTCAGTGCTATGATACAACCTCCGCCATGTTGGACGTGTAGGCTGAACTGAGTCTCAGAACTCCGTGTCGCTGGTGCCTAGGCCTATCAGAATGACCAGGCCTAGGAGAGTGTCTTTTCCAGAGCCTTGAACAGCTGAGATTTTGCTACACCTTTTGTGAATATTTTTTTTAGGCCGTGGAAAGAAAGTGGCTTAACAGTGGCTTAACAGTGGCTTAACAGTGGCTTAACAGTGGCTTAACAGTGGCTTAACGGTGGCTTAACAGTGGCTTAACGGTGGCTTAACAGTGGCTTAACGGTGGCTTAACAGTGGCTTAACGGTGGCTTAACGGTGGCTTAACAGTGGCTTAACAGTGGCTTAACGGTGGCTTAACAGTGGCTTAACAGTGGCTTAACAGTGGCTTAACAGTGGCTTAACGGTGGCTTAACAGTGGCTTAACGGTTTCTTAACAGTGGCTTAACGGTGGCTTAACGGTGGCTTAACAGTGGCTTAACAGTGGCTTAACAGTGGATTAACAGTGGCTTAACGGTGGCTTAAAGGTGGCTTAACGGTGGCTTTACAGTAGCTTAACGGTGGCTTAACGGTGGCTTATCACTGGCTTATTGATGGCTTATTGTTGGCTTAACAGTGGCTTAATAGTGACTTAACAGTGACTTAACAGTGGCATAAGAGTGGCTTAACAGTTGTCAAGGAGGGAAGCGAAAAGTTGTGTTTGTAATTAATGGGTTAGTGTACCCTGGCTTGGTGCTCTGGCTTAATTAATGTGCCCTGACTTAGGGGTTCAGGGACCCCTGCTTGGGGTCAGGGACCCCTGGCTCGGGTTCACGGACCCTGGCTTGTAACCAGATACCCTGTCTTGGGATCAGGGATCTTGGCTTAGGATTCAGGGATCCTGGCTTAGGGTTTAGGGGCCAAGAAACAGACAAGGAGACACTTACCAAAGTCGAAGGATCCTGCGACCACTGCGGCAAGGAGGAAGAGGGCGCAGACTGCGGGAGGCTGCGGTAGAAGCTGCCGATGCTGTGGAACCTGCGGCTTCCGCCAGGAGGAAGACCTGCCTGCGGGAGGCTGCGGCAGAAGTTCCTGATGCTGTGGAACCTGCGGCTTCCGCCAGGAGGAAGACCTGCCTGCGGGAGGCTGCGGCAGAAGTTCCTGATGCTGTGGAACCTGCGGCTTCCGCCAGGAGGAAGACCTGCCTGTGGGAGGCTGCGGCAGGTGGTGGAGAGGAAGATGATGCGGCAGGCAGCGCACCATGACTGTGCTGCCTTCCAGATAAACAAATACAAACTTCCTACCGAGATCTCACAGCTAATTTGAGATATTTTCCATCTCGCTCTCTCTCTCTCTATATATATTTTTTTTTTCTCTTTCTCTCTTTATCTATATCTCCCGAGGCTAGTCCTTCTTGGTTTTTCTCTATATATCTATCTCAAAATATATCTCTCTATATATTTCTATCTCTCTCTCCTCTCTCTCTCTCCTCTTCTCTCCTCTCTCTCTCTCTCTCTCTCTCTTATTATATATATATATATAAATATATATATATATAAATATATATATATATATATCTATATATATATATATCTATCTGTACATCTCTCTATCTATCACTCTACCTCTATCTCTCAGGTGACTGATCCTGGCTGGTCTCCCTCTCTGCTAATCACCAGACCACTGGTCTTGGGTCTCTCATTAGCAGGGTAATTAGCAGGGTAATTATCTCTTAGATATCTGCTGTTTCTTGCTTAAGAGATTTACAGCGATTTGTGGAGATTATCGCTGGTGGGTTAGAGAGAGAGAGAGTGGGTTGTAGGGTGGGTTGGTGTGGTTGGTGGGGTGTTTTAATGGGTGGGACGGTGTGGTGGGTAGGTTGAAGGGTTGGTTAGTGTCGTGGGTGGGTTGAAGGGTGGGTTGGCGTAGTGGGTGTTTTAGTGGGTGGGTTGAAGGTGGGTTGAAGGGTGGGCTGGTGGATAATGGAAGGTGGGTCACTTGATTGAGACAAATCGTCCAGGAGCAGAGGGCAGCCAGTCCCAGCCACCTGGCTGGCAGTAGCAACCACCTGGCTGGGGGTAGCAACCACCTGGCTGGCAGCAACAGCCACCTGGAACAAAAAGTAGATTTATATAAATATTATATAACAAACACACCCACACACCCACACCCACAGCCTCCACCCAACACCGAGCTATAGAATCCCACAGTATGCTACCAGGTCTCCCACCCTCACAGGCCCCCCAAACCACAGTGTTGGAAAGGAAACTGAAGGTATGGTACACAAACGCTGATGGAATAACAAATAAGTGGGAGGAGTGGCACGAAAGAGTCAAAGAAGCATCACCGGACATCATAGCTCTCACAGAAACCAAGCTTACAGGTATGATAACAGATGCCATCTTTCCAGCGGGATACCAGATTCTGAGAAAAGACAGAAGGAACAGGGGGGATGGAGGAGTGGCATTGCTGATCAAACACCGAAGGAATTTTGATGAGCTGGAGAGAGGAGACAGCGGAGAAGAAAGTGATTACATAGCGGGAACGCTTCACTCTGGTGGTCCCAAGGTGATAATTGGAGTGATGTATAACCCACCACAGAACAGCAGAAGGCCAAGGCAAGAGTATGACGAGAGCAATAGAGCGATGGTTAACACACTGACTACAGTGGCCAGAAGAGCTCATGCATGCAGGGCAAAGCTCCTGATCATGGGTGACTTTAACCACAAGGAGATCGATTGGGAGAACTTGGACCCAGATGGGGGCCAAGATACATGGAGGGCTAAGATGATGGAGGTGGTACTGGAAAACTTCATGTACCAACACGTAAGGGACACTACAAGAAAGAGAGGAGAGGATGAACCAGCAAGACTGGACTTAGTATTCACCTTGAGTAGTGCAGATATTGAGGACATCACATATGAAAGACCCCTTGGGGCCAGCGATCATGTGGTTTTGAGCTTCGAATACACAGTAGAGCTACAAGTGGAGGGGGAAGCAGGAAGGCCAGGACAAATGAAACCAAACTACAGGAAAGGGGACTACACAGGAATGAGGAACTTCCTGAATGAGGTTCAGTGGGACAGAGAACTGGCAGGGAAGCCAGTTAATGAGATGATGGAATATGTAGCAACAAAATGCAAGGAGGCTGAGGAGAGGTTGTACCCAAGGTGTAACAGGAAATGAAAAAGCCCGATGAAACCCATGGTTCACTGACACATTCCACCTCGACAACACTGACACTTACCACCTGACAACGAACCGACACTTTCCACCTGACAACACCGACACATTTCCACCTGACAACACCGACTACTTTCCACCTTACAACACCGACTCTTCCACCTGAACAGACACCGACAACTTCCACCTGACAACACGACAACATATCCACCTGACAACGTACCGACACTTTCCACCTGACAACTACCGAACACTTTTCCACTGACAACACTGACACTTTCCACCTGAACAACACCGAACTACTTTCTCCACCTGCCAACACCGACACTTTCCAACCTGACACCCGACAGCTTTCCAACTTACAACACAGACACTTTCCACCACCACTCAACACTGACACTTTCCACCAGCACAACACCGACACTTCCACCCTGACAACACCAACACATTCCACCTTACAACACCGACACATTTCCACCTGACAACACCGACACTTTCCACCTGACAACCACCGACACTTCCACCTGACCAACACTGTACAACTTTCTCACCTGACAACACTTGACACTTTCCACCTGGACCAAAAAACCCAAAAACTGGTACACATTCCACCCTGACAACACTGACACTTCCACCGAACAACACGACACTTACCACCTGACAACACTGGACACTTATTCCAAACCTTGAAAACACTGAACTTTCCACCTGACACCACTGACTACTTTACACACACATGACAACACTGTCACTTCCACCTGACATCCGACACTTTCCACCTGACAACAGCTGGACAATTACACACACACACAAAACACTGACACTTTTCACCGACAACACTGACACTTTCACCTCACAACAACTGACACTTTTCCACCTCACAACACTGACACTTTCCACCTGACAACACCGACACTTTCCACCTCACAACACTGACACTTTTCCACCTGACAACGACTGACACTTTCCACCTCACAATCACCGACTCTTTCCAACCTCACAACACAGACACTTTCCCTGACAACACTGACACTATCCACCTGACAACACTGACACTTTTCACTCACAACACTGACCTACTACAGTTCCACCTGACAACACTGACACTTTTTCCACCTGACAACACTGACCTTTCCACCTGATGACACCCACTGACACTTTCCACCTGACAACAACTGACACTTTCAACCTGAACAAACACTGACACTTTCCACCTGACAACACTGACACTTTTCACCTGAAAACACTGACACTTCCACCTGACAACACTGACACTTTCCCCCTGACAACCACTGACAACCTTTCCACCTGACAACACTGACACTATTCCCACCTCACAACCTGACACTTCCACCTCGCAACACTGAACACTTTCCACCTGACAACATTGACACACACTTCGCCTTCGCAACACTGACACTTTTCGCACCTGACAACACTGACACTTTCCACCAGACAACACTTGACCCTTTCCACCCTCCCAACACTGACACTTTCCACCTACAACACCGAACACTTGTTCCACACTGACAACACCGACACATTCACCTTACAACACTGACACTTTCCACCTCGCAACACTGACACTTTCCACCTGGACAACAACCGACACTTTCCACCTGAACACCCAAACACTTTTCCACCTGACAACATAACACCGACACTTCCACCTGACACCGACCGACACTTTCCGTTCCACCAGACACAACTGACACTTTCCACCTGACAACAACCCCGACACTTTCCAACCTGACAACCCCGACACTTTCCCACCTGACAACACTGACACTTTTCCACCTGACAACACCGACTACTTTCCACCTGACAACACCGACACTATCCACCTGACAACACCGACACTTTCCTCCTGACAACACTGACACTTTCTCACCTCGCAACACTGACACTTTCCAACTGACAACAAACACCGACACTTTCCACCTGACAACACCACCAACAATTTCCACCGACAACACCGACACTTTCCACCTGACAACACCGACACTTTCCACCTGACAACAACCGACACTTTCCACCGCTGACAACACTGACACTTTCCACTGACAACACTACGACACTTATCCACCTGACAACACTGACACTTTCCACCTGACCAACAACTGACACTATTACCCCCTGACACACGACACTTTCCACCTGACACCACTGTGCCACTTCCACCTATAACACTGACACTTTCCCTACAACACTGACACATTTCCACTGACAACACTGACAACTTTCCCACCTGACCAACAAATCACTGACACTTTTCCCACCTGACAACACTGACACTTTCCCACCTGACAACACTGACAACTTTTCCACCTGACAACACAGACACTTTCCACCTGACCCAACACTAAACTTTCCACCTCGAACACTACGACACTTTCCACCTGACAACACTGACACTATCCACCTATCAACATGGACACTTTCCACCTCACAACACTGACGACTTTCCAACCTTGACGCACTGACATTTCCACCGCACAACACTGACACTTCCACCTCAAACACTTGACACTTTCCACCTGACAAGACACTGACAACTTTGTCCACCTGACAAACAACTGGCACTTTCCCACCTGACAACACTGACACTTTCCCTCCACCTTACAACACTGACACTTTTCCACCTGACAACACTGCGACACTAACCCACCTTGACAACCTGGACATCTTCCCAAAACATAAATCCAATGAATACACTAACAATACACAAGGACAACAGTGTTGAATTTTCTGTTGAACTGGTGTACTGGTCACTCATCTTAACACAGTAATGAGTACTGGGCGTACTGGTCACCTCATTATTAACTACAGTACTGAGTACTGGTGTACTGTCACTCATATTAACTACATAAGCTGAAGTTTACTGGGTTACTGGTCACCTCAATTAACTACATGTACTGATACTGGGTTGTACTGGTCACTCATATTAACTACAGTACGGAGTACTGGTGTACTGTCACATCATATTAACTACCGTACTGAGTACGGTGTACTGGTCACTCAATTAACTACAGAACTGAGTATTACTGGGTGTACTGGTCCACTCATATAACTACAGTTACTGAATGTACTGGGATTACTGGTCACTCATATTAACTACAGAACTGAGTACTGGTTGTACTGGACACTGTTCATAGTTAACTCAGTACTCTCTTTGTGGTACTGGGGGTTACTGGCACGCATATTAAACGGTGATGCAGTACTAGATATCTGGGGTAGTACTGGTCCACTCATGATTAACTACAGTACTGATTACAGGGTGTACTGGTCACTCATATAACTACAGTAACTGAGTACTGGGTGTACTGTCACTCATAATAACTACAGTACTGGGTACTGGGTGTACTGGCACTCATATAAACTCAGTACTGAGTACTGGGTGTACAGGTCACTCCATTTTAACTACAGTACTGAGTACTGGGTGTACTGGTCACTCATACTACACTGCAGGTCTGAGTACTCGGTGAGTACTGGTCACTCATACCTAACTGCAGTACTGAGTACTGCAGGTGTACTCGTTCACTCCATATTTAACTACAGTACTGAGTACTGAATGTACTCTGGTCACTCAAACTGACTACAGTACTGATACTGGTTGATACTGGTCACATCATATCACTACAGTACTGAGTACTGGGTTACTGGTTCACACTATACTACTACAGTACTGAGTACTTGGTGCACTGGTTCACTCAACTAACTACCAGTACTGAGTACTGTGTGTGACTGTCTCTCATACTGACTACAGTACTGATACTGGGTGTACTGGTCACTCCTAATGACTACATACTGAGTACTTTGGGTGTACTGGTCACTCATATTAACTACAGTACTGAGTACTGGGTGTACAGGACAATCAATAAGTCTACAGTACAGAGTACTGGGTGTACTGTTCACCCATACTAAACT